GTAAGCGCTGCCCTTCCGTGCCGAGTTCCAGCGCTGCCCGGGGCCCGCCCGGCCCTGAGCGCTGCTGTGGGAGGCCCGCCGAGCTGCTCCTGCCCGTGCTTCCCGCGCCGGCATTCCCAAAGGAGCTGCGGGCAAGGGGCCGAACGGGCGGGGTGCTGAGGAGGTTTCTGAGGGACAGTCCCACAGCAAAGCTCGGGTTAAGTGAAGCTCTTCCTTCCAGCTGTTAAACACCGTGTTTCTGTGATTCTTTGCCGGAGAAACTTGACGTCGTCCTGCGGTCCGACCCCGTCAGCTCCAGAACTTGCACAACAAACAGATATTGAGGGGAAGTTTCAGGGCACAGATCAGATTAGTAATTTGCTGTGCTCACCAACACACAAATGAACAAACAAACAATTATGAAGAACAGGAGAGAGAGGGGTACGAATACAAATTCCCACTAAATGTCTCTGTTCTATTATTTATGCACTGAATGCTCAAATCCTGAGAGTGAGATGAATAACTAGGTCAATGAAGGAAAAAAAGGTAACACAGACAGGTCAGAATCTTTTATTTTTGTTATCATTTCAAAGAACACTGTAAACCCCAGACTACCCAGCCAGTGGGGAAACAGGGGAGGGACCTTTGCATCAGGAATAGGGAATATAAACAGTTATTCACCTTACTATCAGGTGTGCCTACTTGTTTAGGTCACTCATTCTTGCAAATAAATATAAATAAAGTATAAATAAACTGTGCTTTGCTGAAGGATCTGCTTGGGCCTGTTCATTGGCTCGACAAACGTTCCTCACAATACTAATGCTTTTCTTTACTGGAAATCCCATGACTGATGCAGAGTAGGTTTATCATTTTGTGTCAGAATGGTGGTTTCTGACAGAGGTTAACAATGTCAGATTTTCCTAAATTCCATCAGCAGTGGAGCACAAAGAGCTGCTTCAGGGGGCCATAGTGAGCAGGAGCCTGGCTGGAGACAATTGCCTTTTAAAAATTTTTTGTTATTAATGCAAAAGGAAACCTAGTAGATAGTCCTTCATGTTATCTGTCTTCCCAATGACTCACTTCTGTGCCAGGGGAACAAGTACTTGTAAAACATACTAAGTTTGCATAAAATGCCATTACTTTGGCAAAATGAAGTCATGTTAAGAGACAGAATTTTGAACTGTGTCCATATTACGAAAATTAATTATTTGGATTTAATTTTTTTTTTAATTCTCTACAGGTGGTCAGGCTTTGGAGTGTAGTAGAAGAAATGACTTCACCATCTTCAGCTGCACTGTTTGTTATTTTTGGCTGTTTCATACTTAATGAAATATGGTTATTTATTATTGGGGTTTTTTTTTAATACTTATGAGTCTTTCTGGGTGAATTTTATAAAACATTTATTTTTATTGCTTGTGTAACTACCTGACATGTTTTTCTTGGTAGACAATGGTACTGTTTTTGCCAGAACAGATTCTATTTAAATTTTGGGAAATTCTTGGAAAGCCAATATTCCTGTTTCTGGTGGTACCTATGCTGTGTTATTAAAGTCAGCTTTATGGAAATGAAAAATTGTTCTTGACAGGAATCATAACCATTTGTTTACACTAACTAAGCTGTATGGCTCTATCCCATTTGAAATTCAGTGCTGTTCCCCTAAGACAGTGATGCTTAACCCATGACTTCCTAGCTGCCTGTCAGCCCTCAGAGGTTTCCACTGTAAACTTGCCAAACATTTCATGTCTGTGCCTGGACCTGTGCATCCTGGAAGAGACATATGCCTGTGCTAGACCTGTGAATATGCCTGTTTTGGTGCATCTCAGAAAGTGGAGCCACCAGGATCACTGCAAGGACAGAACTGCTAAGACAGGTCTGAAAGAAATTTCTTTACCTATATATATAGTCCAGCAGGCAGCCACATCATATAATCTCTTCCTTAAACTGAGTAAGTGTCTTCCTAAAAATAGCTAGGTTTCTTGCCATCAGTATTTCTAATGAAAAGCTATTATAACACTTAGTGCTCTAATGATTAGAAACCTTGTAATTCCCAGCCTAAATGCAGTGGTGATAGGTTTTATACTCACTTACTCCTCTGGCAAGTTTGTAAGTGGTTCTTTTCATAGTTTTTGCTTAGTGGATTTGTAGACAAAGGAAGACTCTCATCAGTCTTTGTTTTGCCTGACTAAATAAGACTAACTCTTAAATATTTCCTGTCAGAAGACATGCTTTGACTTTCTCTTACCAAGCTTACAGGCTTTCTGTATATTGATTCAAGTCTGACCTCACCCCGCCTGTCACTTGTATAAAATACTCCAGGTAACACCTTAGTGATGCTTTGCAGAATTTACTGGCTTCACTGTCTCTCCTGGAGCTTTCCTGGTACATCCAACAATCATGTTTGAATTTTCCTCACAAAAGTGGTTTCTCACCATTTTGTGATCAGCTAGTTTTCCTCAGTTTTTGTTCAATGGTGTTCAAATTAATGGATTACAAAGTGAAAATTCTGTAGTGTTTTATTTTTTTTACTAGTCCACTTTGCATGCCTGTTGCTCATGTTCTGGTAATGTTGTCCCCCTGCATGACGTCTCCTGACTTCAAGTTGTCATCAGAGTGATGGCAAGGACACTGATAAAAACTCTAAGGAAAATCAGCCTCAAAATTGATCTTTCAGGAAGTCTCCATTAGTGACTTACTTTTAACCTGATACTGTTCCTTTGCAGTATGATGTATGACTATCTAACTTTTGTTCAGTATCTTGTTCACCTTATGTTTCCTCTGCTAATTCCATCATGTCCAGCTTAGTTCATACTTTTCCATGTAACATCACATCAAAAGCTGCAAGGGAGTCTAAATAGATTCACTGGCCTTCATTTTTCTTGTTTAAAAATGGAGGCAGACACTATAGTGTAAGTCTGTAGTGACACTGCAGTGTGCTGCCTTTGTCATCATGGCCAAATTCATCATCCGTCTGTTGTTTTTAATCGTTATTCCAGCTTAACAGTAGAGAGGTCCTGCTGTTTTCCTTCTTGACTTTTTGAACATACATGTAAAACATTTCGCTCTGTGTTTTAGTATCTTCCTTAAGACAACTTCAAATTGATTTTAACAATTCTTATTTTACAGTGTATTGTGTACCTCTAAGACAGCTTTTTTATGGATCGGTCTTTTTTTCTATTCTTTTTGACACTCTCCATATTCATAATGGCTTGCTTGAGATGGTTACTTAACCAATGAGATTTGAAACTTATTCCTGCAAGTACTCATTCCTCTTCTACCTTTAACCATTATAAAATATATTAATCCCCTTTTGACCGGAATTAAGACCTCTTTCACATTCACATCCTGAAAGCCCTTCCATAGTTTGATTTTTTCAAAAGCTTGTAACTTTAACAAAAGCTTTGTAACTTGTTAAATCTTGTAACTTTAGAATAGAGTTTTAGTTACAGACCTGCTTTTGTTCATCCTTCATTTAAGTCTAATAAATTATTCCATGGTTAGTCATGTAGAGTTATTTTCCTTGACACCCTTGAAATAACACACTCATTACTTCACAAAGTTGAAAGTAAAATCTTTTTACTGCTTCCCTGAGTACTAAGCGAAGAACTATGCTACTGTTGATGTGAAGAACACTTGGATGTTACTCGTTTCTAGTCTGGATAAGTAACATATTTTTCCAAGTGTCATATTCCCCAATTACAATTCCCATTCTTATCATATTACTGAGTTCCCCAACCATACCAAAAGCCAAACCTTGGAGTTTATACTCCAATAAAACTTTTCAACTACTTGTT